TGACAAAGGAGGCAAGAATATACAACGGAGAAAAGACAGGCTCTTCAATATGTGGTGCTGGGAAAACTGGACAGCTACATGTAAAAGAATGAAATTAGAACACTTGCTAACACCGTACACGAAAATAAACTCCAAATGGATTAAAGACCTGAATGTAAGACCAGACACTATAAAACTCTTAGAGGAAAACAAAGGCAGAACACTCTGACATAAATCTCAGCAATATCTTTTTGGATCCATCTCCTACAGTAACAGAAATAAAAACAAACACAAACAAATGGGACCTAATTAAACTCAAAAGCTTTTGTGCAGCAAAGGAAACCATAAACAAACTGAAAAGACAACCCATAGAATGGGAGAAATATCTGTAAATGATGTGACCAATAAGGGAATGGCCTCCAAAATTAACAGTTCATGCAGCTCAATATGAAAAAAACAAACAACCCAATCAAAACATGCACAGAAGACCGAAATAGACATTTCTCCAAAGAAGACATACAGATGGCCAAGAGGCACATGAAAAGATGCTCAACATCACTAGTAATTAGAAAAATGCGAATGAAAACGACCATGAGATATCACTCCACACCCGTCAAAATGACCATCATCCAAAAGTCTACGAACAATAAATGCTGGAGAGGGTGCGGAGAAAAGGGAACCCTCCTGCACTGTTGGTAGGAATGTAACTTGGTACAGCCACTGTAGAGAACAGTATGGAAGTTCCTTAAGAAACTAGAAATAGAGCTACCACATGATCCAGCAATCCCACTGCTGCATATATGCCGAGAAAACCATACTTCGAAAAGATACACGCACCCCAATGTTCACTGCAGCACTATTTACAATAGCCAAGACATGGAAGCAACCTAAATGTCCGTCAGCAGATGAATGGATAAAGAAGTTGTGGTACACATATACAGTGGAATATTACTCGGCTATAAAAAAGAATGAAATAATTCCATTTTCAGCAACATGGATGGACCTGGAGATTGTCATACTGAGTGAAGTAAGTCAGACAGAAAAAGACAAATATCATACAATATCACTTACATGCGGAATCTTTTTTAAAAAAATGATACAAATGAACCTTTTTACAGAACAGAAACAGACTTAGAGAACGAACTTATGGTTACCGGGGGAAGGGTGGGCGGGGGGAGGGATAGAGTGTGAGTTTGGGATTGACATGCACACAGTGCTATATTTAAAATAGATAACCAGCAAGGACCTACTGTACAGCACAGGGAACTCTGCTCAATATTCTGTAATAACCTACATGGGAAAAGAATTTGTAAAAGAATAGATACATGTATATGTATAACTGAATCACTTTGCTGTACCCCGGAGACTAACACAACATTGTTAATTAGCTATACTCCAATATAAAATAAAAATTTTAAGGGGTGGGGGGGGGGGGGGGGTGGGAATATAATAAAAGGTATTTATGACAAACCCACAGCCAAGATAATACTCAGTTGTGAAAAGCTGAAAGCCTCCCCGCTAAAATCTGGAGAAGGACAGAGATGCCCACTCTCATCTATTCAGCATAGTATTGGAAGTCCTAGCCACAGCAATCAGACAAGAAAAAGAAATAAAAGGTATTCAAATTGGAAGGGAAGAGGTAAAGTTGTCATTATATGATGATGACATGATTACATATATAGAAAGCCCTAGAGACTCCACAAAAAACTACTAGAACTGATGAACGAATTCAGCAAGGTAGCAGGATACAAGATTAACATACAGAAACCAGTTGCATTTCTTTACACCAACAATGAATATCAGAAGGGGAATGTAAAAAACCAATATGTTTCAAAATTGCACCCCTAAAAATAAAAGATTTAGGAATAAACCTGACCAAGGAGGTGAAAGACTTATATGCTGAGAACTATAAAACATGTAATAAAGGAAAGTGAAGATGATTCAAAGAAATGTAAAGATATTCCATGCTCTTGGATTGGAAGAATTAGTATTGTTAAAATGGCCATACTACCCAAAGCAATCTACAGATTTAATGTGATCCCTATCAAATTACCCATGAATTTCTTCACAGAACTAAAACAAATAATCCTAAAATTCATAAAAAACCATAAAAGACCCAGAATTGCCAAAGCAATCCTGAAGAAAAAAACAAAGCAGGAGTCATAACCCTCCCAGACTTCAGACAATTACCGTAATCAAAACAGCATGGTATTGGCACAAAGCAGACATATGGATCAATGGAACAGAATAGAGAGCCCAGAAATAAAGCCACACGTCTACAGTAAATTAATCTTCGACAACGGAGACACAAATATACAATGGGAAAAAGATGGTCTCTTTAGTAAGTGGTGTTGGGAGTGTTAGACAGCTGCATGTAAATCAATGAAGTTAGAACACACTCTCACACCATACACAAAGATAAACTCAAAATGGCTTAAAAACTTAAACATAAGCCATGACACCATAAAACTCCTAGAAGAGATCATAGGCAAAACATTCTCCAACATAAATCATATCACTGCTTTCTTTGGTCTCTCAAGGCAGTAGAAATAAAAACAAAAATAAACAAATGAGACCTATCAAACTTACAACCTTTTGCACAGCAAAGGAAACCATAAACAAAATGAAAAGATGACGTACGGAATGAGAAAAAATATTTGCAAATCATGCGACGGACAAGGGCTTAATTTCCAAAATATAAGAACAGCTCATGTAACTCAACAACAAGAAAAACAGATAACCCAATCGAAAAATGTGCAGAAGAGCTAAACAGACATTTCTCCAAGGAAGACATACAGATAGCCAATAGACAAATGAAAAGATGCTCAACCACTGCTAGTTATTAGAGAAATGCACATCAAAACTACAATGAGGTGCCACCTCACATCGATCAGAATGGCCATCATTTAAAAGTCTACAAATAACAAATGCTGGAGAGGGTGTGGAGAAAAGGGAACCCTCCTACACTATTAATGGGAATATAAGTTGATGCAGCCACTGTGGAAGACAGTATGGTGGTTCCTCAGAAAACTGAAAATAGAACAACCATATGATCCAGCAGTCTCACTCCTGCACACATATCCAGACAAAACTATAATTCAAAAAGATACATGCACCCCTATGTTCATAGCAGCCCTATTCACAATAGCCAAGACATAATGTCCATAGATAGATGAATGGATCAAGATGTGTGTGTGTATATATATACATACACATACACACACACACACACACACACACACACACACACACACATAATGGAATACGACTCAGAGCCATAAAAAATAATAATGCCATTTGCAGCAACATGGATGCAAGTAGAGAATATCATGCTAAGTGAAGTAAGTCAGAAAGAGAAAGACAAATACCATATGATATCACTTATATGTGGAATCTAAAATAAAACACAAATGAACCTGAACCTATCAATGAAATAGAAACAGAAATCGGGAACATAGAGAACAGACTGGTGCTTGCCAAGGGGGAGCGATGGAGTGGGAGGTTGGGGTTAGCAGATGTAAGCTTTTCTATATAGAATGGATAAACAACAAGGTCCTACTGTATAGCACAGGGAACTATATTCAATATCCTATGATAAAACATAATGGAAAAGAATATATAAAAAAGAATGTGTATATATGTATAACTGAATCACTTTGCTGTACAGCAGTAATTAACACAACATTGTAAATCAACTATGCTTCAATACAAATTTTTAGAAAAGGGATCAGAAATAAGTAGGATTCCCTGAAGAAAAAAATCAAAATTCTTTCAAGAAGGCTGAGCCTTGGAAAAGGAATTTGGTTCTAGATGGTATATGGTAGGATAAAGATAACTGAGAGAACCAGTTCTTTTGCCAGAGCCTGGAAGGTAGATAATTAAAGAAGGCTATTTAAACAATTACTTTGCTGTTACAAGTGGTCTGTGCATCTCTCTCCTTCTATGCAATTGCTTTTTGTTTTAATTTCCTCCTTTAATGAGTCCATTTACATACAACATAGTGATTATGTATGATCGTGACTAGCAGTAATTACCGCCAACATATTTACAGTTCCCTTGAATAATGTCATTAACTCCTCAAGACAAGCTGAGAGGTAGGCATTATTGTAATACTTAGTTAACAAATGGGAGAACAGAGACTGTGAACTTGCCCACTGGAAATGCTAAAAGCATAGCACAAATCTACGTCCTCTGGCTTCAGAACCTATGCCATGTCCAGTAGTCTCAGTGACACTATGAGGGGGAGATCATAGATTGTAAAGGACTTCATATTTCAGGCCAAGGGGCTCAGAATTGAGAAAGGAAATGGACTTCCAGGAGGTCCTTAGAGGGATCCATTAAAGCAGTGCTTCTCTGTGGAACCCTGAAGAACACCAGCTAAATAAAGAGCAGATAGAGAAGCCTGTAGACAAAGCTTCATTCAAGTCTACATACACACGAGGTTAGAATCCACTTGCCTCTCAGAGAAGGTATCAAGTCTCCAGCTGCTATAAAGTTTAAGACACTAAACAACGCAAGAAATAATCAACCCTTACCTTGCAATCTTAAAAGCAAGTTCTCTTTTCTAGTATAGTTTGTCAGAGTAGTCCTTAAAGCTGTGAGCATGGGGTCTACCATTCCATCCCTCAGCTGGTAGTGTTGCTTCTCAACACTTACTAGTGACAGTGCCCCAGCTTCATGAGTGAGATTTTCATGGTAGGAAGTTAGGAAACCCTGCTTGAGGAAGAGAATGGGAAGAAGAAAAAAACCAATAAACTACTTAAGAATTAAGTGGGCTGTAGTTCTCTTGTCTATAAAATGGTAGATATCACTAAGGTGTTACCCCATGCTATATAGTTCCTACCTGTATTTGGTTTGCTGAGAAGTGGTAGCAAATGCTGAGTCTGGGGCTTTTCCTACAGTTTCCTACTCAAGGCCATGTGTACTATAGCATACATTAGCAAACATTAGAACATATGCTTTGATGGAATCCAGCTGACCAAAATTGACTTATAACCTTGTTACTTTTTCTTTTTTAACAGAGAAAAATCTTTGCCGGAAATGCAGTGAAAACTGCAAGACATGTACTGAATCCGACAACTGTACAGAATGTAGGGAGGGGTCAAGGTAAGAGAGTGAAGGATTTCATCAAGTAACACAGCCCAAGGACTTCTCAGTATAAATTAAAAAAAAAAAAAAAGTAAATAGATAACCCTTTTATAAGTCACCCTTGGTTTGACTCCCATTCAAACACTTGATTGCTATTTGCATCATTATCTCTACCATTTTATGTGAAAAAATGGATACGATCTTGGCTAAGGAAGGTTTAAAAACCAAGTAAAATCCCCTTTAGAAAAGATGGTTCAAATACAAGTAAATAAATGGCCATTTGAGAGGCCTGCTTCAGGCTTTTTGACCGGTAGTACATCAGTCAAGGATTACTGTGTAGGTAACACCAATGAATTATATTTAATCCCCATGATTCATTCCTCTGATGGTCAAAACTATTCCCTTATCTTTATTATTTCTCTCCATATAGCCAATCATTCTCTTATCTTCAGCACCTCAGGCTGGTTCCATTATGCTATGGTATGCACATAGATTTAATACCAAGGGATGTTTTCCTTGAATGGATGAGACTTGCACATTGCTAAAGCCAGATAGTTGATAGATTCTTTGAGAGAATAACATGCAGCTCAAATGAACTAAGTATTCTCTTGATATCCTTAGAGAAGGTCAGATCATCCCACACTGAGTGAGGAGTTGGACTCTGGGTTTATTACATAGAGCTAGAATTGTGCTCCATTGCTTCCCTTTCAAGAATCAGCAGTACCTCTATTTTCACCTTTGATCAGAGGTGAAATATGCAGGGTCCAGGCAATTTTTAGGCAGGTAATTCTTCACATTAATTAATAGTGGGACATCATTTTTATTTAGATTAATTGATTATCCATGGCTTTCTTTTTTTCCCCATAAATGCATTCAGTGTCAGTTTGCTTATTAGTACCTTTTACCTCAGGACTTCAGTTTTGATAAATATCAGTCTGGTCGGCCTCCTCCTGCTTTTTGTAGAAGGAGCAGATTGGCATAATGAAAAGAAGGAAGATAAATGTGAGCTCAAATCTTTCTCTGCCATTTATCAGCTGTGTGATTTTGGCCAAGTCACTGTGCCCCTCTTGAGCTCCGGTTTTCTCATCTATAAAATGGTGATCGGGCTTCCCTGGTGGCTGAGTGGTTGAGAGTCCACCTGCCAATGCAGGGGATGCGGGCTCGTGCCCCGGTCCGGGAAGATCCCACATGCCACGGAGCGGCTGGGCCCCTGAGCCATGGCCGCTGAGCCTGCGCGTCGGGAGCCTGTGCTCCGCAACGGGAGAGGCCACAACAGTGAGAGGCCCGCGTACCGCAAAAAAAAAAAAAAAAAAAAATGGTGATAATAACCCCGATGTTGCTGGATTATGATAAGGATTAACTGTGATAACATTTACAAAGCACTTATTCCAATATCTGATACTGAATTGGTCCATGAGAAATAAAAGATTAAGATTATTCTCTATATTTCTTAGGGAACATTTGACAGAGTAAGTTAACCAGTGCTCTCCAACAGAAGTATGAGAACCATATGTTATTTTAAATATGTCAGTAGCCACATTAAAAGGAGTAAAAAGACACGGGTGAAATTTATTTTAATAAAATATTTAATCAAATATATCCAAAACATTTCAACATGTAATCAATGTAAGACAATACAAAAGATAATTAGTGAGATCTTTTATATTCTTTTTTGTTTATAGTACCTAGCCTTCGAAATCTGATATGTATTTCACCCCTAAAGCACATCTCAATTCAGACAATAATTTTTTATGAGAAATACTTGATCTGTATTTAGATTTTATAAAATTTAGTTGAAGTAGATTTTTATATAGCCAAGTTGTTCCACACTTACTCAGAAGTTTGCCAATAACCAAATCAAGTGCCAATTTGTAAAATTTAGAATGAAATTAACAAAAATAAAATAAAATGTTAAATTTGTTCCTTGGCCACAGTAGCCACATTTCAAGTGCTCCCGAGCCATGGGTGCTAGAGCGTGTGGGACGGCACAGGTCTAACCTGGCTGTCTTATCCCAGAAAGAACCCAGGAGTTCACGGTACCAGGTTCGTTAGCCTTGCCACCCCTGTATTTTGGAAACAGCAGAAAGCATCATGGTTCACAGAGACTGCTCTGCTGCACGTCCCACTTAGTGCATTCCCTTCTCACACAGTGCAGCCTCTGTCTCCTGCTGAATAAG